ACGTATATGCTATTAGATGTGATCAAAATACCATTATATTTTACTGACAGGATACAATACATGTTAAATACCATGCACAATGTATATAATGTAAATAAATGCGTTGGTTTTCGATAATTATTCTTCGAAATTGTTATTGTAAGATTTATATAATTAAGGAACAATAGTAATATGCCTCTAAAACTCTCACGTGGTCACTCAGTGACCATATATGGAAGTGTGGAATTGATCAATTAAACGAGATTTATTGATGTTTGATTAAGATTCCACACTTGCATATATGGTACTGAGGGATTACGTGCCCACCCTGTACGTATGTATACGTACCCTACCCAATCAGGGTTTTATTAATTATTATGCATGAATGGTAATATATATTAACAAAACTTTGCATCTTACTATTGTTGCTTTCAAGACTGACCACTCGCACGACTGTGTCATCTCACGTAATCCCTCAGTACCATATATGCAAGTGTGGAATCTTAATCAAACATCAATAAATCTCGTTTAATTGATCAATTTATAGCAATATAGCCCTCAGCCTCCTGGGGGGTCAGCCCCACCATTTGTGCAATTTTGAATCTCCACTACCTAGGGATGCTTCCAGTCAAATATGGCTGACATCCATCTCTTAGTTCCAGAGAAGAAGTCGCTTAAAGCAATATTGCCAAATTAGCCCCTATTGGCCCCGCCCCTCACCCCCTTGGGGGTCAGCCCGACCATTTGAACAATTTTGAATCCCCACTAACAAGGGATGCTTCAAGTCAAATATGGCTGATATCCATCTACTAGTTCCAGAGAAGAAGTCGCTTAACGCAATATTGCCAAATTGCCCCCTTTTGGCCCTGTCCCCTTAACCCCTAGGGGGTCAGCCCCACCATTTGTACAATTTTGAATCCCCCACTACCTAGGGATGCTTCCAGTCAAATTTTGTTAAATTCCAATCAGTGGTTAAGAAGGAGAAGTCGTTCGGACATGGTGAGCTAAAAAGAACCGACAGGAAAGACTAATCTGAGAGTAAGTAGAAGCACAGGGACAAAAACTTACACAGCATGACAGAGGGAAGGGAGACTGGAAACACTTACCCAGCATGGAGGAGGAAGGCAGAGAAGACACGGCCAAACTGATCTGGTCTGTCCTCATACACAAAAGGAATCATACCACACACATCTGCCATACAGTTGACCTGTTAAAAAACATGCCTTAGTTTTACTGCTTTGGTAAATTTTATAGTTTCTTCCTTTATCTTCCTTTTTTCTGTAGTCATGCCTTAATTTTGCTGTTTCAGTAAATTTGATAATTTCTTCCTTTTCTTACATTTTTCTGTAGTCAATTCATTATAACTTTGTTTCTATACATGTATGGTAGATCACTTCTGCTGTTAACTCAGGAAAAAAAATCATTTAGATTTAAACTCCTTCTGCAGTCAATAAATACAAAAAGATTGGTAAAGGACCTTACAGAATTAACAATCTATATTTTGCAAATCATCTATAATTAATACCGGACATTAATATTGATACAAAACTAACTTTTACATATAGGGTTCCCTTCTCACCTGAGCACACAGGAAGGCCTCCTCGTGATAAAAACCTTTCAGGAAGGTACAATGTTCTCGGGATGTGATCATACACTCGCCCTGGATACCATGGCAACAAGGGCGCCCTAACAGGTCACATGACATGTGTCGATCTTCCTGAGAAACAGAAACTGCACCCAGATGTCCTGGGTCATTAGTTTCTTCACAAACCTGAAAAAAATCATGGTTTTAAACAATGTAAGCAAAGAATTTAGCAAGAAGCATTTATTGTTGGTATTGTATGTTAGAATAGACTTTTCAAGCATAATTATATTTGATTTAATATGAGAGAAAAAAAACCTAGAGAATACATTTCTGTGGCATAAAGCAACTATTAGTACATTCTTACAAGCTAATACTCATTTGTACAGGTTTTAAGGTGGAAACAAATACAAAGAGAAGTGTCTAGCTCCAGGACACAACACACATGATACATGTGCTGGTGGAAACTAAACATCCTGTAGTTTTTTACTGCAAAGATATGCTGCCCAACAACATGCTTAGGCAATAGCATGTGAAATCAGCAGCAGCACTTGTAACACTAACAAGCTATATAAAGGATTACTGCCACATCATCAATCACTTGTAACATTAACAAGCTATATAAAGAATTACTGCCACAGCATCAATCACTTGTAACATTAACAAGCTACATAAAGGATTACTGCCACAGCACCAATCACATGTAACACTAACAAGCTATATATAGGATTACTGCCACAGCATCAATCACTTGTAACATTAACAAGCTACATAAAGGATTACTGCCACAGCATCAACCACTTATAACTTTAACAAGCTATATATAGGATTACTGCCACAGCATCAATTTAACCTCACTGACTATTTTCATTAAGATTTTTTCTATACATGTTGTCAACCTGATTATTTCATATTTGGAGAACCAATAAGGTTTCACATGGCAACAGATAAGCCTTTTTTTTTAAGAATGTTTTAATTTATGTTTAATTGAAAACAAATGGAGAAAATGGCCCCCATCGCCATATGAAATTAGTTTCAGTGTTTCATAATGATCTATAAATAGTTACAACGACTTTGATCTTGACACACTGTAATATGTATGCATTCAAGGAATTATCATACTTCAAGTTGATAAATGGAGAAATATATATAGAAAAATATTCCATAAATAGCAATATGCAGCAGTTATATTTGATTTTTCGATATACAGCAACAGTGACCTTAGCCTTGACTTTGGAACCCTAAAACACAGAGATGTCAGAGGTATTCTCATACTTGACCTTTGTAAAAAGTTTGATAAAAAACTTGTCAAAGAATTCAGTTGCTAGAGTATTTATATTGAATTGTGACGGGACAGGACGGACATAGGCTACACTGCATGCCCCCCCATTTTATGGCAGGGGCATAAAAGGAACGCTACTTAACTTTTCTGCAAAATCATACCTTCAGTACCTTCAACCTGCATCATACAGTAATAAAAATGTTCATATATATCACTTTAACATATAAGATTGTCATGCAAGAAAGCAAACTTACAGGCCATTGTGTCATGTCATTTTTATTCCACTCAAAAGGAGCTTTGGACAGTGGATTTTTGCAATAGCTGAAAAACAATGATTATATCGTTAATGTAGGAAAGCGAAATGCAAAGCTGAACATGTAAAGCTGCAGTTCAGGCAAATCAACCACAGCTACATGTTCTTGTACACCGACCAGGGTTTGCCACCCATTACAAAGCTATTACGGGTTCACAAATCAACCTTGGGATAGTTGGCATAACTTTATATGTATACTAATGGCTAACTTTATAAACAACATGTTATCATGTACACTAGCTATCTAGCTGGCTATTAATGAAATACGTTGCAAACTTATAAACATATTACCAACCATTCACATGGAAGCTATGTACTGTTGCAGCTGACAATACAGTAAGAAAGCATATGCTTGTTTGTTTCACTCATTCACCCCTGAAGACACGTTTGAACTCTTCCAATTCAATGGTTGGAATAGTTCATTATGAAATTTCAGGGGTGAATGCTATGAGTTAAGATGATAGCATGTTATTCAGAGGGCAACGATTAGAGTGCCTAACAGAATCAATGAGAAGTAGCCGTTAGCACCAATACATTAATATCTAGTGGTTGAAGCCATCATTTTTTTTTACAAAATCTGTAAGTAGGACAACTTTTATTTAGAAATTTCAGATTTCAGATTATTTCAGGTCCATAAAGTTTTTTTTAGAGGCAAGTGTTTCAATATTAAAATTTGACAGTTTATGATTTAGATATCTAGTGTTACCCTGGATCTTGTCCACACACCGGTCCCGAGGTGAAGCCATCTTTACTGGGGTGTGTCCTGTTCCACTTCACAAATGTAGACAAGATGCGCTGTAATAAGAGGAGCAATGTAGACAAGGCAATACTAACCTGGAGGAGCACAAATAAACCCTATGAGACTTTTTCGTGCACAGCGGTGTAGGATAGGGAAATTCCACCTGAAGGTTTTCAAATTGGGTTAAACCCAAGGCTTGCTAAGGGTTTTGTCCCAATTTGAAAATATAGAATGTACTAGCCTCCCTCCTATAATATTTTTTTTGTAACACACCAGTTGTCCTAGGCCAGACACTATATTCCTCTAACAAGATCTAAGATAAATGTTTTCATGACAAATATCCTGCACTGTGTGTGCTGATGGATTACCTCACCAACAGAAAATAGCAAACACAACGTCGAAGTTATAATCAGATTAGATGGAAGAGATTCTTTTTATTATGGTATCAATAGTTTACTAAAGATTCAGAAGAAATACCTCGGAGACATGATCACTACGGACAAATCATGGAACCACCTCAACTGTGATCTGTAACAAAAATATTTTCTTTTAACTGATCTTGAGACAACTACACAAGTGTGGGGGGGGGGTAAACCATTATACTTACACTACAGCGTGACTTGACAGTTTGAACACAACCAGTGTTGTCATCACGGATACAGCAACCCGAGGTTCGCTCCTCATCACGATCCAGATCCATGACATGGGCAAGGTTGGGGTCTTTCCTCATACAAGGGGAGTATTTGGCGCCCAGATGAATGAGGTCAGCCTGTGACGGACCCAGCCATATGTTTCCAAACTCTGACCGCCGAACAGACTCAATGGCCATGTTTGGCTTTCTCACCTGGGTACAGAAACAGAAAGTAATCACTAAAATCACACTATAATGAAGTCAACAATGTTATTTTTGTGTAATTTAAAACTAGATTGAAATCTAATTGGGGGCTTTTCAGACGATACCACAACCCAAGCTTTTTATATAAAATAATAAAGAATAAATGTGGTGAGCCTATTTTGATATGTGACACACTGTTTGACCACAACGTACATACAATGCTCAACACAATCTCCCTACAGGATCTTTGGGCACAACATAGCCAAGAAAACCTAGGTTTTGGAACTTCAGGTGAAGGTCAAAGGTCAAATAAAGGTTGCACTGTTCTCCTGTTTGTGCCCGATACAGTACCTACTCATTATGTACCTATATACCAAGTCTGAAATTACATTGAGTTATATTTTCAGACTTTAATTCAGATGTCTTAAGTCTTATTGAGAACAGGAGTATGTCACAGCACCAGAAAAGAGCCGTGATCATGTGTTTGGCAAAATTTACCCAGTCATCGATGGTGACCTCATCTGCTCCAAAGTTAGACACACCATACAAAGCAAGGGCCGTGATCATAATGACTGTCTGCGTAAACGTGATGAACCAGGTAAAGTATGGCCTGTAATAAACAAACAACGTTAGTCATGGCTGATTTATAAACGTGATGAACCAAGTAAAGTATGGCCTGTAATAAACAAACGACGTTAGTCATGGCTGATTTATAAACGTGATGAACCAGGTAAAGTATGGCCTGTAATAAACAAACAACGTTAGTCATGGCTGATTTATAAACGTGATGAACCAGGTAAAGTATGGCCTGTAATAAACAAACAACGTTAGTCATGGCTGATTTATAAACGTGATGAACCAGGTAAAGTATGGCCTGTAATAAACAAACAACGTTAGTCATGGCTGATTTATAAACGTGATGAACCAGGTAAAGTATGGCCTGTAATAAACAAACAACGTTAGTCATGGCTGATTTATAAACGTGATGAACCAGGTAAAGTATGGCCTGTAATAAACAAACAACGTTAGTCATGGCTGATTTATAAACGTGATGAACCAGGTAAAGTATGGCCTGTAATAAACAAACAACGTTAGTCATGGCTGATTTATAAACGTGATGAACCAGGTAAAGTATGGCCTGTAATAAACAAACAACGTTAGTCATGGCTGATTTATAAACGTGATGAACCAGGTAAAGTATGGCCTGTAATAAACAAACAACGTTAGTCATGGCTGATTTATAAACGTGATGAACCAGGTAAAGTATGGCCTGTAATAAACAAACAACGTTAGTCATGGCTGATTTATAAACGTGATGAACCAGGTAAAGTATGGCCTGTAATAAACAAACAACGTTAGTCATGGCTGATTTATAAACGTGATGAACCAGGTAAAGTATGGCCTGTAATAAACAAACAACGTTAGTCATGGCTGATTTATAAACGTGATGAACCAGGTAAAGTATGGCCTGTAATAAACAAACAACGTTAGTCATGGCTGATTTATAAACGTGATGAACCAGGTAAAGTATGGCCTGTAATAAACAAACAACGTTAGTCATGGCTGATTTATAAACGTGATGAACCAGGTAAAGTATGGCCTGTAATAAACAAACAACGTTAGTCATGGCTGATTTATAAACGTGATGAACCAGGTAAAGTATGGCCTGTAATAAACAAACAACGTTAGTCATGGCTGATTTATAAACGTGATGAACCAGGTAAAGTATGGCCTGTAATAAACAAACAACGTTAGTCATGGCTGATTTATAAACGTGATGAACCAGGTAAAGTATGGCCTGTAATAAACAAACAACGTTAGTCATGGCTGATTTATAAACGTGATGAACCAGGTAAAGTATGGCCTGTAATAAACAAACAACGTTAGTCATGGCTGATTTATAAACGTGATGAACCAGGTAAAGTATGGCCTGTAATAAACAAACAACGTTAGTCATGGCTGATTTATAAACGTGATGAACCAGGTAAAGTATGGCCTGTAATAAACAAACAACGTTAGTCATGGCTGATTTATAAACGTGATGAACCAGGTAAAGTATGGCCTGTAATAAACAAACAACGTTAGTCATGGCTGATTTATAAACGTGATGAACCAGGTAAAGTATGGCCTGTAATAAACAAACAACGTTAGTCATGGCTGATTTATAAACGTGATGAACCAGGTAAAGTATGGCCTGTAATAAACAAACAACGTTAGTCATGGCTGATTTATAAACGTGATGAACCAGGTAAAGTATGGCCTGTAATAAACAAACAACGTTAGTCATGGCTGATTTATAAACGTGATGAACCAGGTAAAGTATGGCCTGTAATAAACAAACAACGTTAGTCATGGCTGATTTATAAACGTGATGAACCAGGTAAAGTATGGCCTGTAATAAACAAACAACGTTAGTCATGGCTGATTTATAAACGTGATGAACCAGGTAAAGTATGGCCTGTAATAAACAAACAACGTTAGTCATGGCTGATTTATAAACGTGATGAACCAGGTAAAGTATGGCCTGTAATAAACAAACAACGTTAGTCATGGCTGATTTATAAACGTGATGAACCAGGTAAAGTATGGCCTGTAATAAACAAACAACGTTAGTCATGGCTGATTTATAAACGTGATGAACCAGGTAAAGTATGGCCTGTAATAAACAAACAACGTTAGTCATGGCTGATTTATAAACGTGATGAACCAGGTAAAGTATGGCCTGTAATAAACAAACAACGTTAGTCATGGCTGATTTATAAACGTGATGAACCAGGTAAAGTATGGCCTGTAATAAACAAACAACGTTAGTCATGGCTGATTTATAAACGTGATGAACCAGGTAAAGTATGGCCTGTAATAAACAAACAACGTTAGTCACGGCTGAGTTTTAAATGTTAGGGCTACATACAGCTCTCAAACTTATTCTTTAAAGTTCTATCGTCAAAAATTGTCTGAAACAATATTAAATAAAAAATACTTGAAATACAATTAAAGATCAATTTGGTGCTGATCTGAAGTCAGATGCCTTAACTCATTCACCCTTAAAGACACATTTGAACTCTTCCAATTCAAAGGTTGGACTAGTTCATTTTGAAATTTCAGGGGTGAATGAGTTAAACACTGTCATCATGGCCTCCACTTCCATGGGACTGACACAGTATATAATATTTATACATTGTATCTGTATCAGCTGCAACAAATGTAGTTGCTGGAGGTTTAAAGCGATGTGGGGTACCCACAAGGCTTACTTTCTAGACAGTCTATAGCCATGGTTTACTCTAATGACAGTTGATTATGCTTCATTCCTTTTATAAAATTAATTCGTAAAAAAAACCCACCCAGAAGCTCATATGTGATTTGTCTGTTCTACCCATAGTGAAATCATGTTACGCTACCTTTTGGTTTCATCATTTTTTTCATCACCACCACAGCAATTTCCACTCAGAGCTTCACAGGTGTTCTCCTCCATGCTAAGGACCAATGCCTGTCGCCGCTCTTTCTCTGTCTCGACCACTCCACGAAACAGTCGGCTCATCCCGGGCCCTGGGGGGACAGGCTTCTCTTTTTTGCTGGGGGACAGATCTCCCATGGGCATGTCATCAAACCTCATGTCACTGAAAACAAATTTTTATGAAAGGTTTTTGAAAATCATGCAAATTACACCGAGCAATACAGTAAGCTGCTAAATCATCATTTAGGTACAACCTGAATTCAGACTTCCTTGGTGTACATCTGTTATTGAAGTAAAGCCTGATAGTGTGGATAGTGATTGATTTATAATTGAAAACCAGTCACCGAGGTAGACAAGCTGACCAATTCGTAGATTACAAATAATGTTTCAGTGGTACTAATATAATTAAACAATGCAGCAATAAAAACTGCCTCTCCCGTTGATGTCATTAAATAATTTACATCAAAATGAAAAAGCGATTTGCAGTACCAGTTTAAACAATGAATCAACTGATATCAACTCTGAATCAAAAACACATCACTCCTTACTTGGATGAAAGTCTCCCATTTTACTGATTAACTTATTGTTTTCTCTACCAAAGACACAAAATATATCTCAATGATTTTAAATGTTAAAGAACTTGGTGCTTCCTAGGTATCCATAGAGCTGCTAGTCTGCTAGGTATTCTGGTATACAGAGGAGGTATTCATAAACCTGATGTTTCCTAACTGTTAGTCTACTATCTTATAATAACTGTGGCTTGTACAACGTGGCACTCCTGATGTTTCCCAGGTTGCAAAAAGGATTGCTAGTCTGCTAGGTATTGTACTGTATAAAGAAAGCATTCCCCAACACCGTTTGTGACATTTGAAACACACCATTATTAGAAGAAAGCTTACCCTGGTTATATTTACATTGAAAACACTGAAACTAAGTACTCTTAAAACTTATTGGATTTCTTTATACAGTAATTTTTGACAAAAGATGCACTGGAAAGTTTTTAATCCTTTCACCACTGTAGACCATAATGGACTTATCCAGATCAATGAATGGTAGAGTTTATTTAAGTTACATAGGGATGAAAGGGTTAATGCATGTACAAACCTTGGTAAGGAGGGGCGATCTGCGTGAGTCGTGTCGTCAGTAGTGCTAGGCGGTAACTCATCGTAAAATCTCTCATTGATAAACTGAAACAAGTCGTAAACAAACCAACTGTATCAAAACAAATTACAAGTGTACCAACGATTCATATATTCTGTACAACAGCAAGGCCCATATGTATGTATATCAGAGATAACTCACCTTGGAAAACTCTGGTTTTTTGTCCACATATCTGTCTAGGCAGACAGGAGCAAAGCTTCGTCCAAACACTCCAAGTTTCTTCTCCTTCTTTGATCTAGATATTCCCTGGAAACAGTGTGAGAAATTAAAACTCGTATTTTTATAACATTGAGAACAAATTGTGGGTACAATGAAATATATATACAGTATACAGTAAAGATGTACAAATGTACAGAGAAACTGTGGTTACAGTATACAGTACAGATGTACAGAGAAACTGTGTGTACAGTATACAGTACAGATGGACAAATGTACAGAGAAACTGTGGGTACAGTCTACAGTACAGAGTACAGATGTACAGTGAAACTGTGTGTACAGTATACAGTACAGATGGACAAATGTACAGAGAAACTGTGGTTACAGTATACAGTCCAGATGTACAGAGAAACTGTGGGTACAGTCTACAGTACAGAGTACAGATGTACAGTGAAACTGTGTGTACAGTATACAGTACACAGAACAGATGTACAGAGAAACTGTGTGTACAGTATACAGTACAGATGTACAAATGTACAGAGAAACTGTGGGTACAGTATGCAGTACAGATGTACATTTGTACAGAGAAACTGTGGGTTCCTGTGAATATGTTCAGGTGTTTTTATCACAAGAGGCCCACAGGCCTTAACGGTCATCTGAACAAAAACATGAATGATACACATCGTGCTGAGTCTTATTCTTCATGTCAATAAAACCTCAGTGGGCAGGCAACTGTACCCAAATTTGGATCTATTGAAACAAAGAATGATTTCCTGAAAAATTAATCTACATGTACATGCAAATCACTCTGGTTTTGATTAGATTGGATTTAAATCTACCAGTAATTATTTCATTTGAAGGTTTGTACTGAATGACTCCTTCGGAGTCCAATTGAGGGTAGCCATTTCGTAATAAAAATTGTGATCGTCATCTTCTATGCATCATTTATATGAAACAATGGGTGTAGTTCATTTTAGAGGAGGCAGTTTTTGAGAGTTTTGCATTCTATGATCACTTATGATCCTGCGTTGAAGTTGCATAGGTGGTTAGTCCCTTCTTGATTCTAAATTGTGACCTCCTTATTTAAGGTCATTTTGTGTATTGCTGGTCTAAATTCTGATTACCAAAAAGGTATCATGAACCAGCAAAATCTGATAGACTGCTTTTAAAGAGAAGGTGAAAATATGATTTGAACACACAAAAACAACAAAAGATGAATGATAAAGCATTAAGTGAGTCAGGTGACCTATATATCAATCCCTCAAAGTTGAACTATTGCATCGTAGATTGTTGGTACCATACAGTTGTTCTGCTACTTTTCAATCCAGTCGGAGCTAAATAGACATGTAACAATATTACAGAGTGTCCTGTTAAGGTTGGTTGACATAAATACAGCCTACATTTATTACCCGTATTAGAACAGGGTACCTACCACAATGGTCTTAGCTTTGTTCCAGGTTATGGTTGTCACTGCCGCCTTCCTCTTGAGGGGCTGTGGTCGACATCGCCGTGCACCCCTTCCATCAGCTTCAGTGGTTGGCTTCTCCGGTGCAATGCCACCTCGGTAGACACGTTCCCGTCGGTTCTGCCATCTCTGGCGACGTTCTTCCTGATCTTCCTCATCCTCGAGCCCTAGAAATTTCCTGGCTCTGTTTCTAACTAACCTACAAGGTAAAAATGTAAATGTTTCCTGTTATCAGGAATTCTTTCTGAGAATGTGTGACAATAACCCAAGAAGAAAAAAATATATCAAAATTTATTTATCAAACACAAATTTAGAAATGCTAATGGACACTTAAGAATATTACATACATCCAAGCTTGGATCAAATTTGTCCCCATCGATTCACATACAATTGTAAACATCATCTTGACAATTCAGATACAAAGTAAAACGAAAGCCATATTTATAGCTTTCAAAAAAACTTCAACAGAACAAGAGGCCCTGTATCGTTCACCTGGATAATTAAGCAACCATGGGAAAATATTCTCATTAAACATAATACCGCAACTATTTCCAAATATTGGCTCTGTTTCTCAGCAGCACCAGTCCATTATTAGGTCCCTTTTTCTCTCCCGGGTATCACACCATCCATTTACACAAATTAACTCTTCTATGCCCAAAGATGCACTACACAAACTTTTGCTAAAATCCCTCCAAACGAACTGAAGGAGAAGAATTTTAGAAGATTAAACTCAAGTTCCCCTATTGGGCCCTGCCCCTCTGCACCAAGAAGGAAGCACATTTACATCATTCATTCACAAAATTGAGTCTCCTTTGCTAATGGATACTCTGGACCAAATGGTTAAAATCCCTCCAATCAAACTAAAGGAGAAGGATTCTGAAGATTTACCTTAAGTTCCCCTGTACCCAGGGGTGCTACACTCTTTGTTTATACAAAATTGAGTCCCCTTTGCCTAAGATGCTCCAGTCAAATTTAGTTTGAAATCCCTCAAATCAAATAAAGGGAGAAGGATTCAACACATTTATTACTATGGTCCCCCTGATCCTCTGCCCCAACTGGGGCCACACCCTCCATTAATACAAAATTGAGTCTGCTTTGCCCAAGGATGCTCCAGGCCAAATTTAGTCAAAATCCACTGAGCCGTTTAGGACAAGTAGCATTTTAAAGGAAAAGTTGACAGATAGACGACAGATGCCGTGCCACGGCACAAGCTCACCGGTGTCATGCATAAAATGTACCTCCTGCTTTAATAGTATCCAGATACTTTTTGGTGGGGGGGGGGTTGCTTTTTATGCATGATACCGGTCTTTTGGACCAGGTGATCAGCTAAAAATGTTAAAACAGCACTTAATGATAGTTACAGATAAGTGTGGCAGGGAGTGAATGTTGTTTACAATTAACTAACTCGAGTTCATTAATAATAGTTCTCTAACTTTGGAACAAACAGGCTCCAGCAAAGTGCAAAAAATAAGCTCCAAAATACAAGGAACACAAGTTGTGGAACCTCCAGACCACAAATTTAAACGGCATTCACAAGTAGTCAAAGTCATTGTTTATGATAAGCCATTATCACTCTGTAGGATTTGTAGAATGATGTAATTATATAGTGTTCAATAAATATACACAGCTATCCAAAAGACAATAAATATGTATATGTATACAGAGTTTATATAAATACATAGCTACAGTAAACCTCTGGTCAGTAGGCGGATAGTTCAAACACACTTTTTGAATAATAAAAATAATAATTTTCTCGCCGTGATAGTTTGCTCCCTGCTTACACACGTTTCGATTGTTTGAACACACAACTTGAGAACTAAAATTACGTAATTATTGATCGAGGGGATGCAATAACAGCCTCGCGAAACTTGCTTAAACTGATCTATTTTTGCATCGACAGCGTTTAACTACTGAATAACGGGTAGTACTCATGAACCGCAACCATTGTTGTCATTAATGTCGGACAATTTGTACCTAAATAGGCCACATGTCACCGATGATTGAGTTTCTTTCTTGTAACCATGTGCAGGTGCCAGTTAAACATTTTTAGGTCCCGACCATGTATATCCTAACAGTACAGGGAGCGCAGAGAATGTTAACATCACAACGCTGACAGACGCGTGTATTGTCATTATACTACTGTGATTATAATTTGATTATATAATCGCAACCTGGTCATCGATCCCTGATTTATTACTTAATTGATATATTTCCTATACATGTGGCAAAACAAAAATATTTGACCAGGTGGTCGATCGACTATTAATCCGTAATTACAGTTTCAATCCGCATTCTGATACATTACAATTTACCTACCGTCAAAACTCAACTCCTAAGCATCTACTGCTTTGCGACCTACATATTTGTCTCTGCTTTGCGATTGAACTTAATAATTGATCATCAATATATAAATATAAGAAAGATATATATATATCATTATTCATCTCTAGATTTGCAAATAGATATCGCAATAGGCCGTCGTTGTTCCGTATCAACGACTTGACTGTTTGTCGCGATTTTTGCCGATGTCGACTCGGATAGTTTGAACTACTCTTTTTTTTACCGGTTATAATTTTGTTTTGTGTTTGTGTTTCGAACTGACCGGAGGTTTACTGTATAAAGAGAAAGATGTACATGTGTGTATACATTGTGATTACTAAATAGCTACACAACTTTCCTTTTTTACAATTTAATTGACAGATATGTGTGATCATGAGGATGTTTGTATTCAGTATGTAGATCATTACAAAATAAGACAAGATATACATCTGTGTATTTAGCAGTGATGGGCAATCAGTTTAAAATCATAATCGATAATCGGTTTGTAATCGGAATTAGTAAACCGATCGATGATCGATGGCATAATCAGTTCATAACAGAATTCCCAAATAAAGTGAGAGAACACAACCCTAACATCAATAGACTGAGTTGGGAACTAAACATTAGGTTTCGTTCTTTTATAATGAATGGAGTTCAAGCAATTTTTATGCAGTTTTATCAATCATATAATAAAAGTCATGAATGCATAAGAATATATGGCTTTCAATACATTTTTTACATTGAAAACATTAACACTTTGATTTCAATGAAGAACCAATTATATCGATAATGTGATTTGTAATCAATTAACCGCATCAGAAAGGTGAAACCGATCAATTTCGATTATAATGGATCATCAGCCCATCACTAGTGACGTCTAATCAAGTGAAATTTTATGATCCTTCATTGGTTACCATAATTATTCGCTTATGCAAATAAAACACCATACCATATAAGCATTAATTGCCTCTAATAGAACTATCTAATTTCTAGTCATAAGGTGGCAATGAGCAGGCTTGAAAGTTAAAGACGTCGGTGAAGATGCCACATAGCAGCTGAAAATAAATATCAGGAGACATCTGCTGCTGAGCTCTTGTTGAAATAGCCTTGACATCATAAATCACTCTACTGATAACTCCATAACATCTACACACAACTATTCCAGCACAAATCGATCATGAATTCTGTAGTCGATTAATCAGTTTAGTGGCCTAACTGACCAATAGTTGCTTAATCGAAACGCCACTACAGACGACTATCACTCTTCTTCTGTCATTCACTTTTGAAACTGTATATGCACAATTAAAGACCAAACGGAATCAACTTGTGGAAATTGATGTGGAAATTAATAAAGGTCTCATAAGTAGTTATTGAGAAACGATAACACTTATAAGTTATGTATGTACTGGCAGTCATGCATCTGATTATATATATCTATTATAAAGGACCAACTAAAACCTGCTTCAGATATATATTTTTTTTAAAGATCCATCCATTGCTTTCTAAGTAGTTAAGGGATAACCAACTTAAACTATCAAAATCTAAGATGGCCACATGTTAGTCATTTTGTGCTTCCAATCTGTCCTAAAAATGAACATGCACAATTAGAATCATAGGAATCTATTTGTAAAATTTGAAAAAGATCCCTCCAGTATTTTCTGGATAACATCCAAGAACAACTTATAACAGTCTAAAGCCAGGATGGCCACAAGGCAGAGGCAGCCATCTTGTTGTTGCATTCAGTCCCAAAATTGAACATGCACAACTAAGAACCAAGCGGAACCTATATTTAGAATGATCTAAACCTTACATATCGAGAAATAGTGACAGAAAATTTAAATTGTCAAAATCTAAGATGGCAATTCAGTATCTTGTTCTCAGCTATATAACTAATGACCTTAAGGAACCTATTTATAAAAAGTTGAGAAAATAGAACAGACAAACTTTTACTGTTAACAAAGTTACCAGACGTATTTGGTGCCCCCCCCCCCCCAATCATAAAATCTTTTCTTCATTAGTTCTAGGGGACATAGTAACAGTAAGGTGTATTCTTTAAAGCAAGGCCCAATGACATCCTACACTGATAGTAACAAGGATTTTTATCATCTCTATTGAAATGTCCCTAGAACTACACACAGTAAAAACAAAGATGTTTATTCTGTAGCGGAACTACCCAACAACACAAATTATAGTTGTTGGATCGTTCAATGTTACACGATGCACAATGTGTGTGTAAGATGGTTACACAGGGGTCACTCAGTAAAACTAAAAATGGCACAGGTACCCAGCTCTCAATCTCATGAACTAAAGCAAGGTCACAAAATGTCAAGCAACATGTTCTACTTATGAAGGTGCATTTATGAAAGTGTGAAGTTACGTGGATCTGGCTATAATACTTGGTCCATAGACACAAAAACTTAACCATGGTCACAGAGGTCAAGGTCATGAAAATATTGTGCAATATGTTTTAGTAATATTGGCGCATAAGCATGCACAGATGCATGATACTAACTTTACTACTAAGTCCATAACTGACATAAATGCAAATACTTCACCGGACTGACATGTGGACAGTCACATAGACAAAGGTAACCCTATATATATGTACCCTGCACCAATATTTCCTAACGAGACATAAAAAAAAGCTCAGCACAGAAATTAAGTCATTGTGGTAGCTATTACTGTAATATCACAATTGTGAAGACCTGATCAAGGTACAAGGTTTAAAAAATACAATGATGAATTAAAGCAAAAAAACAAAATTACTTAATTTCTCATGCCAAGTTTCTTCTAAAAAGTAATGATCAGGCAGGCAGGTATTTTATTTCATTTTCGAAATCTTAAAAAACAATGAGGCAGGGATGATCTTTTTTGTTTGTTTAAATGGTTACATCACATTCCTAATGATCAATTTTTTCTCTCTCAAAAACTATAAATGCTTCCACACAACTACATTCTTCACTTTCTGGATTTTGTGGCATTTTTTGTGTTGTAAACTTTGTGTCCCTTTTGTTTCTGTTTCCTGCGACTTGTGCATTTTGAGCAAACAGGGTTTGTTTAGGTCAGTCTTTGCACATCCTTAAATGACCTTTGCTGTTAAAAGGAGATTAAAACAAAATAAAATAAATCAATTGTCCCAAAATGGAAGCAAGCTGCTGAAAATGCTCCATAACTGAAGTACGGTACTTCAAGAGACAAACAACACTCCAAGTTTACAATGTATTCTGTGTTTCATGTTTCATCGATAAGGGGGAGTAGACCCCAATTCTGCCCTCTCTAGTAAAGTAATCAGTTTCTTGCACACCACTCTTTATTGTTTCCATGTTCCTCAGAATATTTGTCAGGCAACCAGTTCTGCTTTTGTTCATCAAACAAGAGTTTTAATGCATTCCGTCTCCTACTAGTTTCCGTCAATTAAGTTTAATTTTAGTCTAGATCCGTCTCCCTCATCGCCGGGGAACAGACGTTTTGGTATCTGGTTGTTTTAGTGATTCCCAAAAGTCATTTTGATAGTTTCTTTGACTTTTAGCACTATGGGTGTTGTTTAATCTTTGTTTGATTTTTGTGTACTGTGTGTTCAGAATTTTTTATCTTTACAAAATGTACCATCATATTCTGAAACTACCTGGTACCGAAACATCTCAGATTTTCTCCATCATGTACCGATTTCCTGTCATCTTTTTTCTCTTTCAGGCAAAACCATATGTACCTTCAAAATGTTGCATAATTTTCAAAACGGAAAATGAAACCAACATCTGGAAAAGTATGATGTATTGTAAAATGAAAAAACATTGGGGAAAAATTCAAGAACTTTTCACAGCGTCTATTTTAAGATATTATGGCGATAAAAATTGCTTATGCAGACATTAAAAAAACGCATACTGTAGTGCCTGAGAAACTGAATACTAATTTTATTTTGTCTTTTGCAACTCATTCAATTTTGAGGGAAAACTCCAACCCCAAATGATGGCAAGAGTTATATATATATACATGTTTTATAACATTGACACTTAACACAGATGTTAACAGCTACAATGTGCATTTGTTAACCTCTGTTAGAAATGTCCATGGAAATCTTACCACAAATGAAGGTACCTGATACTAGAGGTGGCATATGCAACTGTCGGTGATTTTTCTACTTCCACTACAAAGGGGCCTGTGCCTGTTGATTTGGGAAAATATCACCCACAAAAATCATAATTTTGGGAAATAAATGGACTTTTTGCATTGATTTTGGGAAAAAAACAGCAAAAATTAGCTGGGGAAAGGGGCCTTTATAAGACCCTAAATCAACCTTAAAAAAATCACTGACTGTACAATATATATACAGCAGACAGAATGTCATGGCCTACACTATACGCCCCTCTCCCCATACCATGGCAGGGGCATCAACAAATGAACCCAAATTTGATTAGTTTGACAATAAGAAAGTACTGTATGCAATAAATAAATAGAAATGTATACAAGATTAATGAAAGGAATTAGGCAACATGGCAAAAAATTAGTTGACATGTATACATGGTTTTTTAGATGCAAATACTTACACCTTACGAACAACTGCACTGTAAATTTACATACACCAATTACAGATCGACATAGGTCCTCAGCTGTCATGGAGGATAAAACCTCAAACATACCATACAAAACAGGGAACATGTTTCATGCTATTACCTGGAATGGCCACCCAGTGTTAGATATAGGCCACATTCTACATCATTGTACATGTAAGTAATTCACACTGCCTTTCACACCTAGGGAAATCAGGTGACATCAAACAACATACTTAATGATTCTGGAGCCCCAATAGGCCTTGTCTGCCTTAAACCCCCTGTCTGTTAGGCAATGATTCTGGAGCCCCAATAGGCCTTGTCTACCTTAAAGGTCCAGTCTGTTAAGGCAATGATTCTGGAGCCCCAATAGGCCATGTCTGCTTTAAAGCCCCTGTCTGTTAAGGCAATGATTCTGGAGCCCCGGTAGGCCTTGTCTGCCTTAAAGGTCCAGTCTGTTTTAAAGCCCCCGTCTGTTAAGGCAATGATTCTGGAGCCCCAATAGGCCTTGTCTGCTTTAAAAGTTCCGTCTGTTTTAGAGCCCTGTCAGTTAAGGCAATGATTCTGGAGCCCCGGTAGGCCTTGCCTGCCTTAAAGGTCCAGTCCATTTTAGAGCCCCTGTTTGTTTTGGCAAGAAAGGTCCAGGGTGGTTCTGATAACCAGCAGACTGCATTTGAGGTCAATGCTACCTTAGAGACCAAGTCTGCCTTTACTATAGCTAGAGACCAAGTCGGCCTTTACCATAGTTAGAGACCAAGTCTGCCTTTACCATAGTTACAGACCAAGTCTGCCTTTACCATAGTTACAGACCAAGTCTGCCTTTACCATAGTTACAGACCAAGTCTGCCTTTACCATAATTAGAGACCAAGTCTGCCTTTACCATAGTTAGAGACCAAGTCTGCCTTTACCATAGTTACAGACCAAGTCTGCCTTTACCATAGTTACAGACCAAGTCTGCCTTTACCATAGTTACAGACCAAGTCTGCCTTTACCATAGTTACAGACCAAGTCTGCCTTTACCATAGTTACAGACCAAGTCTGCCTTTACCATAGTTACAGACCAAGTCTGCCTTTACCATAGTTACAGACCAAGTCTGCCTTTACCATAGTTACAGACCAAGTCTGCCTTTGCCATAGTTACAGACCAAGTCTGCCTTTACCATAGTTACAAACCAAGTCTGCTTTAAAGTCACTCTGCCTTAAACTTAAAGCCTCTTTATGTACTAGAACCGTCCTTAGAGGTCTAGTTTGCGTCAAACCCACCTCAGAGTTTGCCTTAGAGATCCTATGTACCTTAGAGGTCCTATGTACCTTAGAGATCCTATGTACCTTAGAGATCCTATGTACCTTAGAGGTCTAGTTTGCCTCAAACCCACCTCACAGTCTGCCTTAGAGATCCTATGTACCTTAGAGGTCTAGTTTGCCTCAAACCCACCTCACAATCTGCCTTAGAGATCCTATGTACCTTAGAGGTCTAGTTTGCCTCAAACCCACCTCACAGTCTGCCTTAGAGATCCTATGTACCTTAGAGGTCTAGTTTGCCTCAAACCCACCTCACAGTCTGCCTTAGAGATCCTATGTACCTTAGAGGTCTAGTTTGCCTCAAACCCACCTCACAGTCTGCCTTAGAGATCCTATGTACCTTAGAGGTCTAGTTTGCCTCAAACCCACCTCACAGTCTGCCTTAGAGATCCTATGTACCTTAGAGGTCTAGTTTGCCTCAAACCCACCTCACAGTCTGCCTTAGAGATCCTATGTACCTTAGAGGTCTAGTTTGCCTCAAACCCACCTCACAGTCTGCCTTAGAGATCCTATGTACCTTAGAGATCCTATGTACCTAAGAGATCCTATGCACTTTAGAGATCCTATGTACCTTAGAGATCCTATGTACCTTAAAGGTCTAGTTTGCCTCAAACTACCTCACCATCTGCCTAAGAGATCATATGTACCTTAGAGGTCTAGTTTGCCTCAAACCCACCTCACAGTCTGCCTTAGAGATCCTATGTACCTGAGAGGTCCAGTCTTCCTCTGTTAGATTATTAGTCTGTCTTAAATGTCAACTCTACCTTCAACAACAACACAAACACCCCCCACCCAGTCTTACCCAGTCAGTCAAACAGACCCAATATTCCTTAAAAATACAGTGCGACTCTGAAAGTAAATATGTCTAGGCAAAATTGCCTAAGAATCCTAGTAATCAGTCGGCATTCATATTGCCTATGACAGTCTTCCATTGAAAAGCAGTTCAATTAATGCTTAACATAATTATATATATTAATTACATATAAGTAATTGGATAAACCCATATTACTGGCAGTTACTACCATATCAAATCATTTACAATAAATGTCTGCTTGTTTATCACCGTAATCTTCACTCTTTGGTCGTCAAGTCTTTACATTAGAGCTCAGGGCTTTAAGACCATTTTGGGGCTGGAATAAATACATTGGCATTTTCTTTAAATTCTCTCCAACCCTATTATTTTTTGTTAAGTTTGGTTTTTTAATTTTCAGCTCATATTCAAATGACAATGCAACATTTATCATCTAAAATGAAATAAGGTCATATGAATGAGTTTTTTTAGTCTTTAAGAAAGTAGAACATATATATGCTTAAAACAACATTTCCAAAGCCACATGAGCCCCTTTACAAAGTAATGGGGCAACAAAAGTCACGTTCTCGCATGTACTTGATTTCTTAAACACATTTTAATTTGCTCTTTAATGCTCGTCTGCCATATCTCTAATGAAATTGGTAAATTTTGTGAAAATACTTACTCCATCTTTAATTACTCCGTCTTCAGAGTTCCTATCTTATTGTGGGTTCTGAAATAACAAATGTTTAATTACAAATTCGTTTTAAGGATTACTGATACATAATGGACACATTTGGAACAGTTGTCAATGTTTCCCTTAGGTTCCATGTCAAAAAAGCTTCACCTGGTATTACACATGTCCTGAAAATAATCCTTCTATATTCTATATCAGAACAGAAATACTAATTTATTTTAAAAAATCACTCTAGTAAAACTGCTTATTCAACCTACCATGTGGGACAGCACTTTTATGATTTCTCAATGAATTGCTTATTCAACCTACCATGTGGAACAGCACTTTTATGATTTCTCAATGAATTTTCAACAGTACTTTCCAAACTGTCCAAGGAAACCACAACCAAATATAATAAAATTTTATCAAAATATCTTTTGTCCACGACAATTAAAACAAGAGGCCCAATGGGCCTGCATCGCTCACCTGGTATAAATCTCACACTTGTAACCTTAAAAGTGATCTAAAATAAAGCTACAGGCAAAATAAAATACCAGTATCAGTATTTATGATTAAAATTCATTCAAAAGAACCTGTAATTTTTTTTTAAACATTTCACCCCTGTGATTGAAAGTCGAACAAAGTCATTATGTTAAACAAATTTTATAGCCTTTCATCTCAGGATGCAACTTGCAAAGTATCAACATCCTGGGACCCATGGTTATTCAGAAGAGGTCGATTAAAGATTTTAAACAAATTTGACCCCTGTGACCTTGAATATAAGTCAAAGTCATTCACTTTAACAAACATAGTAGTCCTTGATCCCAGCATGCTACTGACTAAATATCAACATCCT